GGGTTCATGGGATCACAAAGAGTCGGACACGACTTAACAACTGAACCACAAAAGCTTTTTACTGACCATTTCCTGGTTGTTTGATTAGAGCAGGCTTCTCGAAACTGAGTGCAATCTCCAAGTCCGAATTCTTAGCCATGACAACTGAACCACAAAAGCTTTTTACTGACCATTTCCTGGTTGTTTGATTAGAGCAGGCTTCTCGAAACTGAGTGCAATCTCCAAGTCCGAATTCTTAGCCATGGTAATGCTGGCTGGAGAATTTTGGTAGCTGAAGTCCATATATCTGGAAGACACCCACATTTGGGGAAGTTAGTCTAGAATGTTTCTTAAATCTAATGGGAGGAATATCTGCCAATGGGGAAGAAAGCTTCATTGATAAGCTGGTCACGTGATTAGTCAAAGTTGGTCATCGGACTTTGCCTTCAATTACAAAGCTAAAGAAACTTCAGTTGGGTTCAGATCATACAAGACTAGGTTTGCATTAAGAGTGCCCCAGCAGAGTTGGTTATATGCAAAGAATGGTCTTTGAGTCTCTAGATGTACCTCATTTGTGATAACTGAGCTGCTGGCACTTGTCTGTCCAGATCATAATCCAAGACGACAATAAGAAAAAGGTGCCATTTGGGGTTGTAATACCCTTAAGGATTATGAACAATTAATTCCAAAAACACCAAGAGTCTATGTAAAAACAGGATAATACTTCATTGGATTGCCTTTTTGCCAATCAGTTAAATAAATTGTGATAGTTCAATATATTTTGGACTTTTGTTTGTGCCTTCAAGTCAATTTTGACTCCTGTGACTGCCTGGACAAGTCCCTGCAGTTTCCTTGGCAAGGTTTCAGAAGTGGTTTGCCACTGCCTCCTTCCTAGGGCTGAGAGAGAGGGACTGGCCCAAAGTTACCCAGCTGGCTTTGTATCTAAAATGGGACTAGAACTCGCAGTCTCCCAGTTTCTAGCCTTATGCCTTAACTACTACACCAAACTGGCTCTCTATTTTGGACTTAGGTATTCTTTAAGTTGAAAAGAGTCTTTATTAAGATTGTCTCAATATGTAGCTCTTAGAAAGTTGTCTAGATCTTACCGAAGCACAGAGAAGAGGTATAATAAGTGGCTTTATTTGGGTTCTTGGGGCTTATTTCTCTTTGTCCTATCTAAATATATAAGTAACATTATTTTCTTTTTGATGTGGCCTTAATTTCATTCACTTTTTAATCAGATGGTAAGCAAAGGTAACATAACTGAGTTCAAAGGGACTTTCAGATATATTGCATTACAGCTTTTTGTTCCAATGTCTCCAATTTCATGTTCTCTTTCTTTTGATTTTCTAATTCTTCTAATGTTTTACCTTTTATTGGTAAATATTTTAAATTCCAGGAGTCTCAGAGATCTGAATCTCTAATGGACATACATCGGAAGAAGCTAAAGAGTAAAACTGCTGGAGAAAAGAATAAACCCCAGGAAAGAAGGCCCTTTGACCGAGACCAGGATCTTCAAGTCCATCAGTTTGATGAAGCCCGAAAGAAAGCAATCATAAAACAGTCTAGAGACTTGAACACTAGATTTTCCCATGGCAAATGCAATACATTTTTATAATGTATTCATACAGAAATAGCAAGAGTGCTAAATAAAGCATTTTCTTTGTACATACAACACACACATGAAAAGTAACGTTCCTTCAAATTGGAGAGCTGCATTCTGTTGTCAGATGTGCTCATCCTATGGCCAAGGGTTTTTGAGCAGACCTTAGGACCCCATTATGTCAATGGCTGAATTTTGCTTGCGTGATTCCAGCTGTTGGGTGGTGGGGGTAATCTAATGGTGGGATGAGTAGAGTTTGCCTCCCAGAGGACTCCTGCTACCTTCACCCACCCACCCAAAGAGATAAAAATAATAATTGCTCGCTCTCTTCTGGTGATATTCACTGAATGGTTTCCTTCCCCAGGAATGTCAAGAGGCTGAGTTGTGGCCTGCAACCCTTTAGAGGTCGTCCACCCTTCTCTGGAGAGATTTCCTTTACATTTTTATGAAAACAAATAGGCCCATTTGAACTGAGAAAGTTTTAAATAATCCAGAGGCATACTTGTAAACAGATTTTTTAAAAAATAAATTTCTTCAGCTGAGATTAGTTTGGAATTTCAAATGTCGGAATGATACGTGTGTAACTCAGAATTTGGAGTTGATAATGAGAGGGGGAAAATAAGATGGTTGCTGCAAATAACTTGGGAACTGATCGTAATTATGCTACAGGAAAACTTACCTGTACATTTGACACGGTTATGAATAAAGCATAACCACTCTGTATGTTAAAATTGTCCCAGGCTGCTTTTTTTTTTTTTCCCTGTTCTCTCTTTTCTTTTCTGCCTTTTACAAGATGATTGACAAGAGCTATTGATAAACTGAATTGGAATGCATTAAAAAGGTTTTGGTTCCTAAGAGTTTCCCGAAGGTTCCTTTGAAATCTCTGGTGGAGTGTATTTATTATTATTTAATATATTTTTATAGCCACTTCCTATTGCAAAGCATCTTGAAGCAGGTTACAATAAAAACAGCACTAGCATCCATAATAAACAATACATTAAATAAAATAAAACATTAAACCCAAAAGATATTCATTATAAAGAGGAAGGTGGGGCGGGTGGGTTTATACGGAAAGTTTATACGGAATGAAGCTGGCAAAACCACCTGCTTTGATGTCAGTGGCCAAATATCCATTGACCAGGAAAGGTGGAGGAAGATAATTAGAATTTAATCCCTGGAGCATAGTCTTATATTGGTTATGATCTCTCTATGCTGTACCGTCCTGGACAAATCTGTATATATGGCTCCATTCTTGTCTGCAATAAAGGAAATCAATCTTGTGGCATTGTGTCTGTAATCTTTCTGCCATTAATCCAAGTTTCAAATAAGATATTTGAAGAACTGAGATTTGCAACCATGCGGATGTGAAGCTGAGTTTTCAATGGATGTGTGAAGATACAGCAGGTCTTCCTGAATTTTAGTCGAGAGAGTTTATGATAGTCCAGAATGGAAGATGGGATTTTGATTGCTTGGAAGTAGCTTCCCTCATATTGGGAATGCTACCATGATCAACGTTTCACTCTATACTTTGGCCTGTTGGAATCGCAGTTGTCTCTCTGGGTTAGCAATTACAAGTATCATAGAGGGAAGGATGGTAACAGGAGGTTGGTTGTAGATCCCACATGATCCACTTGAAGACAAAGATTTGATAAGCATATTCATGCTAACAGTAAGTACATGCTTGAGAGACTGAGTTCACATCTATTATGACACTGCTCTCACCGTTCGATACAACAAATGAAAGGGATATTGGGGTGACCCTAATGTCCATGCGAAACTTTACTTAACTAAAACTTCCTTGTAATTAAGATTCTCCCTTGTTAACTGGTACCTGGGTCAACCATACTGGTGAAGAGAGTGCTGTTCTCATTGGGCAAAATGGTTTTGAACTTCTATGAAAATGTAATGGTGAAGTTAATAGTTGTCTGTAGCATTTGTAATATGTAAATAAAACCTTCCCAATATTTATTGTTAGAAGTTGATTTTAGAACTCTTTAATTCAACTTGTAAAGGAAGCAAGGAGATTTGCCAAGTAAGAATTCTAAATATTAATAAAAGTAGCTGTCAACTGATCAGACAAACCAGAAGGTGGTTGTCATGAGAATCTGAATAAGAGAATGTATAAGGTATGGAGAACAACGTCCTTTTCAAAAATGGTTCTGGCCACTCCTCTCTTAAATCTCTCTCCCAAAGAATTAGCGAATGAAGGGTGTATTGGTCACCAGAAAGAGCTGAGAAAACAACTCTAGCCCAGGCAAAGTCAAGCAAGAGCTCCAGATTAATGAAGTTAATCCCAAATAATGTGTTCCCTGGGCCCTTGAATCTAGTGCATGTAGAACACAAAAACACTGCATTGAAGTTAAGGCAGTTTAAGTTAGTGGCTAAGTTTCCATCTACAGCAGGGCATCTCTTCCACAAATGTCCACAATCAGGAGAACATCAGTTAAGAGGATGCCTGTCATTATAATGTACCTAAATTTTCTCCTCCATTGTGTGGTAATGAGACACTTCCAACTACATGTGATTCAGTCTTTTCCTATTCCATTTACGAGTCAGCATAGTCCTTTATCAGAGCATATGTTACTCTGCTACTGGTTCTCTGTGTTACCTGGCTAATATTTTGATCTGTCTCCAGCATGCGATCTATTTAACATCCTGCTCCATAGAGGCTGTGGAAAGACCCACTGTAAGAAAAAGGCTTCCACGTGCTGGTTAGCTTTCGTTGTCCATATGAGCCCCACAACGGGCAAGAGTTTTAACAGGTGTAGCTGGTTCTACCAGATCTCTAGTGCCATGAAATCAGTTTACCTGGCTATCTGTCAAGGCACAGAAGCCCTTCTGGAATGACTAGCTGGAAATCCACATACCACAGAGGCTTTGTTCAACAAGTATCTCTGTCGCTAGGGAATACAAGATAGAAAACCTTTGCCATCCTCTTGCAGGAACTGGCTTCATTAAGCCTTTGACTGTAAGCTTATGTTCTGGGAAATAATCTTTATTTTTTAAATATTGATTAAAAGTGGGGGAGAAATATAAAACCCAGAAATTGTTCATGCCATGTTCACACAAGGGAAGATCTGGTAGGGGAGAGAGGTCTTCAAGAAGCTTAAAACTCAGAGTTGGTGCCTCACGAAATTACCCTGAAGATGTTTGGAAGATGATGAAAATGATCCACTTTAAGAGAGCAGTTGGATTGGTTTGATGGCAGCTACAGGTTTATTTGTAGTTTTTAACAGTTTTGTTCATTATTTATTGATTGTATGGATATAAATGTGGACCGTATTAATGCTTCATCTTATAAGCAGTAACTTGCCTAGAATCAGAAAAGTGGGCAGCATATACATTTTAGCAAACAAATACAACACTTTCCAGGGAAAGAACATTCATGAGCATATGAACCACCACCACCAAGAAGGTCTTCGTGCAAATGATCACAGCAGGCAGTCTATACCAATCTATATCAGTCATAGAAGACCCAGAAAGATTCCCCTGAAGATCTAAGTAATGGAACAACTCTGTAGATGCTGCTGAATCATAACTGCCTCCTCATTGCCCATGCATAGCCAATGAAGAGGAGACCTAGGAATTATTGTTCAACAATAACTGGACCAGCTGCCACCTCATCCTACCTTGCTAGAGGATTGGCACAATGTGTGAATCCCAAAAATTATGGCCTAGAAAACAATTAAACTCAGCCTGTGCATCTTTGTGCCTTCCCTTTCTATGTCCTGCCATTCTCCTTGAGTCTTAGCAACAGAATCCTTCCCTTCCTGGTTAGGTCTTAATTCCTTATCCCCAGAGAGCTGTGTTGGCTTTGGCCAAGTTGCTAAAGAAGATCATGTTACATCACTTCTCTATCTTTCCCTTGGCCATAGGTAGTGTTTAGGAAACTTTGGCTGGGAGGATGAGGAGAAGTAGACTTAGGTTCTGGGGGTGATTACTAGCTATGATAATGGAGTGGTGGGGCAAAGGCCATGTTACACATTTGGTAATGCAAGATCATACTTTCATTATCTGAGCTTGTTATCTTTCTCTGTGCTGGGATATCACGTGAGGATCATTCTAGCACAGGCTCTGAGCACTGAATTATGTAGGTTATCTACTTTATAAATCTTGCTTCTGCTCCTGGCTTGATGCATTAAATCGTCATTCTGTGGGGAACGGATGTAGCATATATAGAAGTCTAAAACTTTTCTTTAAGATTTGAATAGCTTTGCAAGATCTCAGATCTCAGATGGAGATGCTTCCCAGTTCCATTATCTCACATAACTTAACCTGAGATTTCTGTAATCGCCCAACTGGAAGGCAAACTTAGGTGCCTGAATTAGGTGCCTGAATTCAATGTAAATACATTCAGCGCATGCTAGGAAACGTTGCATGCCATGTAACACCCCCTGGGAACATGAAAACATTAATTGTAGGGAGAATATTGCAATTTTCCCAGCCAAAAAATAAATGGGAACTAAGAACATTGGAATAAAAATGTAATAGAAAACAAGAGAAGCCTTGGGGGAGAAACTGCTTTGCCATGTTTAGTCCCTGTTTCCTTATTAACATACCAAGCACAAGCAAAGTTCAACTCTTTCAAAAGTATTGAAGCATCGACTGGAATTTCAGTAAGTCTCAGAGGGAACAAACAGTCAAGGCTGCCAAAACCTGATGTCAGGCAGTAGGAGACAAGCACACGGTCTCCCTAGCAACCATCAGTGGAGGGAATTCTTGCTAGCAGAAAGCATCTGGAGAGCTATTAATGCATCAGACTGAATGGGTCAGATGCTGCTTGGTTCTCTAGCAAGCAATTAAAAATCACAGAGACTTCAGGAAATGCGTTTTTAAAAATCAGCATGGAAGAAGAGAGAACAACTGAAGCAACTGGGTTGTGCTGGGGTGTGCAGGGTCACACGATAATATTTTTAAGTTCCAAACGGTGAAGTTTCTGTTAGATGTTCATGCCCCTCAAAAACCTGCTCCAGGGCACTCGATAATAAAAATCCATTTCCCCTCTCTTGACAGTATGGCTAGTTGGATTTCTACAACATGGTTCACCAAGTCAGTTAAAAGCCTTGTGGCTGACTTTGCAGAACACACAAAGCTTAGTTTTAACCTCAGGTTTGGGGGGCTTGGTGCATTGTGTGAAGCCTGATGGTTTGGCTAGTTTAGTTTCATTTAATCGTATACAGCCCCCAAATGCAAGAAGCAAGAGAGAGTACTATGTGAATCCGAAAGTTCCTTATTATTATTTGCTAAAAATCAGGAGTCTAGTAGCACCTTTTCAGATTAACAAAGGTTATTAAAGGCATGCCTTTCAACAAAATTTGTTAATCTGAAAATGTGTTACCAAATTCCTTCTGACTTTTGGCTACCATAGACTAACACAGCTTTCTTCCTACAAAGTTATTTGTTAAGAACTCAGGAAGATTATGGTTGTTTAAAGCACGTCTGAATAGGTACTGGCTAGATTTTCTTTTTAGGCTTAAGCCCCTCAAACTTTTGAATGGATTTTGTATGGATTGAGATTACATTTCTAGATGGCCACTGATCCTCCTATCCTTGAAATTTAGTTTAATTCTATCACTTCTGCAATGTTGCTTCCTGACTATATAAAGGAGAACACTGATTTTATATATATGAGAACTCAGAGTTTGCATACTGCAAAGCGTTTTTCAGAAGCAGTGAAGATAAACAAGGAAGGATCTTATTCTGCCCTATCTCAAATGAAATGAAACCACATTTTCTTCTTGTTCTGAGGGAAGGTGAA